TCAGAAAAAGGATCAACATGCTCTGAAGTCAGAGCACAAAAACCTTTTTGTAACAAAATATCGATTTCTGCTGTCCCTGTATCCATACATTATTAGCAACAAAGTATCACCATGCTACACAGTATCCATTTTTCCCCACCTGCATGTGCAGGAACATTATACTGATGAGCTGTAACAGCTGAGAAGTGATTTGACTTTGTGTGTGTGTGTGTGTGTGTGTGTGTGTGTGTGTGTGCGCGCCTGCAGTGTCGTGACGTCAGAACCCGGGAAGTGGGCATCCAAGAGATCCACCACAAAGTCCGACCTTACCAGGTAACCGACGCCGTCACTCGCCGCGTGAGACGAGGAGACGCTGTGGTTTCCTGATGTTCGCTAACACGCGTCTGTGTGCAGGTGGAGCTGATACGGAGAGACTATGTGGCCAACAGCAGCTGGGAGACCTTTCTCTCCTATGAAGACCCTGAGCAGGACATCCTGATTGGTCTGTTGCGGCTGCGCCGCTGCTCTCCACAGTCCTTCCGCCCGGAGCTCAAAGGAGGCGTGTCCATTGTCCGTGAGCTGCACGTGTATGGCAGCGTGGTCCCCGTGAGCAGCCGAGACCCGAGCAAGTTCCAGCATCAGGTGGCGTACGCTTTCACACACGTGCACGCACAACAACAGATGTGAACGTGACGGTTTCGCTCCGAGTTTTTCTCCACACCGGCCGAACCTCAGAAGCTCTGAATGTTGTGTTACGTGTGCAGGGCTTCGGCATGATGCTGATGGAGGAGGCTGAGAGAATCGCCAGGGAGGAGCACGGCTCCTGCAAACTGGCTGTTATCTCAGGTGAGTCGATACAGACGATGTTCTGACACAGAAAAAACAAACAGTTTGTTTTATAAAAGTAGACAATGTTTAGTAACTGTAACCACGGAGACCAGAAAGGAGGAAAAATCTTTACCCTTCACCAGAAATTTGATGCTTTTAATCTGAAGGAGCAGAGGAAATGTGGCCGAGACTGAATCGTACGCTGTAATAACTGACTACTTATTTATTTAAGTGCTGGTTTACACATTCACCTAACAGCAGAAGGATCCCGGTTTGATCCCGGGATGAGACATCGCCCGGTGTGCTGAGGCCTCGTGAACAACACAGATTTATCTGTGATGAGCCAATAATGTCGCTGCGTGTGTCAGACTGAGAGGTTATCAGGAGCCAGTGATGTGAATGTTTGTGTCCTGTGACGCTGAGGCTGTGCTTCATCCTGCAGGTGTAGGAACGAGGAACTACTACAGGAAGATGGGCTACGAGCTGGAGGGACCGTATATGGTGAAGGACCTGTACTGGCCGGACTGAACGGAGTTTATTTATCAAAACACACTCTGGGACACGAATATTAATGTGATGGTGTTCTGCAGTATCGGAGGCGGTGCTGGTCGGCCTGTTTTATCTGGAGCGCACAGAGGCCGCCGCTGCTCCATTTCTTCTGTTTTTTAAAGATAAGGAGACGCACGAGAGGATGTAAGGAATTAGGGAACGTTATCTGGGGTGAAGCCAGCCTTTGAGTTCAAATTAAGATTCTTTAAACGTACAGTGTCATCATATGGGTGCCTTTTATTTAAAGTTGCGCATTTCCGAGTCTCCCCCTTTTTCTGTAAACACGGGTCCCGGTCGCACCGCTCAGCCTCACAACAAGCAGCACTGATTCACTTTGACGTGGAACAAGAGCCGACCTGCCGAGCATTTTTAATTCCACTGCAATGATCCGTGCGCGCA